GATATTTGCTCATGGGGGGAGGATCAGAACACGTATAGGATGAGGACGAGGGATTGGAGGAGCGGTGAGAGCGGGAAGGAGAGGAAGCAGAGAGAGGAGAGACAGCAGAATAACCAAGGGCGAGGGCAAGGGAAAGGGAGAGGGGGAGGGGGAGGGGGACGGGGTCACCTCCGTCGCTGACCGCCGCTGGTCTGCGAGCTCCCGCGCCTGGAGCTCGATCTTCCTCTCGAGGTCGGAGGCGAGAGACTGCTGGTAGGAGATGTCGAAGACGAAGCCGTCCTGTACTCGCCGCAGCTCTGCCGCCAGCTCCGCTACTTGCACCAGCACCAGCTCTGCATACGACTGACACAGGCTGTCCCCGAGCGCGCGATGCTGGTTCGACGCTTGAGCCTCCTGTCCGGCCGTGATCGTCAGCGCAAGAAACCTCCTGCTCCTGCGTGCCCCCTTGCTCCTTCCCTACTCCCTCTGCTCCCCCTTTTGCTCCTGCCCCCCTCCCTCCTCCCTCCTCGCCTCCTCTCCCGCTTACCCGCTGGCTCTGGAGCATAACATCCTTCAGCTCCTCGCACGTCTGCTGCAAGCCTCTCGCCTCCTCCCTGTGCTCGCCCGCCTCCCGCCGAAGCTCCTCGATCGTCTCCTCGAGCCTCCTCTCCCGCCCTGCGGCCTCGTCTGCCTGCCGCTTGGCCTCCCGTAGAGTCTCCTGCCCTGCTGCTGCTGACGAGCCGACGAGCTGCAAGCACTCCCACGTGCTCAGGCAGCTGGCGAGCGCCTCCTCTACCCTCGCCTGTATCCTCTCATCCTCTTCCACGCCCTCACGGTACACGCGTGACGCTTGCTGCCTCGCTGCCTCGGCCTCCTCCCCTGCCCGCCCCGCCTCCCTCCTCGCCTCCTCCACCTCCTCCCGTAGCCTCGCCTCCCTCTCTGCCCCCTCCTCCCTCGCCTCCGTCGCTGACCGCCGCTGGTCTGCGAGCTCCCGCGCCTGGAGCTCGATCTTCCTCTCGAGGTCGGAGGCGAGAGACTGCTGGTAGGAGATGTCGAAGACGAAGCCGTCCTGTACTCGCCGCAGCTCTGCCGCCAGCTCCGCTACTTGCACCAGCACTAGCTCTGCATACGACTGACACAGGCTGTCCCCGAGCGCGCGATGCTGGTTCGACGCTTGAGCCTCCTGTCCGGCCGTGATCGTCAGCGCAAGAAACCTCCTGCTCCTGCTGCCCCCTTGCTCCTTCCCTACTCCCTCTGCTCCCCCTTTTGCTCCTGCCCCCCTCCCTCCTCCCTCCTCGCCTCCTCTCCCGCTTACCCGCTGGCTCTGGAGCACAACATCCTTCAGCTCCTCGCACGTCTGCTGCAAGCCTCTCGCCTCCTCCCTGTGCTCGCCCGCCTCCCGCCGAAGCTCCTCGATCGTCTCCTCGAGCCTCCTCTCCCGCCCTGCGGCCTCGTCTGCCTGCCGCTTGGCCTCCCGTAGAGTCTCCTGCCCTGCTGCTGCTGACGAGCCGACGAGCTGCAAGCACTCCCACGTGCTCAGGCAGCTGGCGAGCGCCTCCTCTACCCTCGCCTGTATCCTCTCATCCTCTTCCACGCCCTCACGGTACACGCGTGACGCTTGCTGCCTCGCTGCCTCGGCCTCCTCCCCTGCCCGCCCCGCCTCCCTCCTCGCCTCCTCCACCTCCTCCCGTAGCCTCGCCTCCCTCTCTGCCCCCTCCTCCCTCGCCTCCATCGCTGACCGCCGCTGGTCCGCGAGCTCCCGCGCCTGGAGCTCGATCTTCCTCTCGAGGTCGGAGGCGAGAGACTGCTGGTAGGAGATGTCGAAGACGAAGCCGTCCTGTACTCGCCGCAGCTCCGCAGTGAGCTCACTTGCGAGGGTCTTGATGATCGTCAGCTCTGACTGGGCTGACAAGAGCGTCTGCTGCATCACAGACTGAGTGAGGAACATGTCACTGACAGTGTCTTGCTCACCACTTCACAAGATTCTCCTGGTGGACGAGACTGGCATCCGCATTGGTCGCACTGCGGTCAGCAGCGTCAGGGAGCCGCGGAGAGGAAGAGAAGCGGTAGAAGGAAGAGAGGAGAGGAGAGGAGAGGAGAGGAGAGGAGGGGAGAGGAGAGGTGAGGAGAGGAGAGGTGAGGAGAGGAGAGGAGAGGAGAGGAGAGGAGAGGAGAGGTAGAGGGGAGGTGAGCGAGAAGGAGAAGAGAGGACGTAGAGAAGGGCAGGGACAGGACTGAGGAAGGAGGATGAAGGTATACGACCATACCCGATCTGCATCAGCTCTCACTCGCTCCTCCGCCTTGCCCTCACCGCAGGCGAGCTCCTCCATCACCCCGAAGCTGACCCGCCGCTTCACCTGATCGCTCTCCTGCAGCTGCTGCTCCACCAGGCTCTGCAGCTCCTGTTTGTGGAGCTCGAGGGAGGCATGGGCTGATCTGAGGGACGAGATGCTCTCTATCGTGTGCTCCACCTCCTCCTCGATCACCCTGCACATCTCCTCCGCCTCCTTCACCCTGTCCGCCACGGCCGAGATCGGAGCACCGAACGGAGTCCGGATGGTGGAGATGGGGCTGTAGAAGACCGAGGAGCCCTGGGTGTCGCTGAGCGAGCATACCATCCTCTTGCCAAACGATCGGATAGAGTTCTCGTGCTCCGTGAATACCTTGGACATCAGCCTTTCAACCTCCTCCTCCACGTGCTGCTCTAGCTCTCTCCCTTCCCTCTCCATGACCTTGAGCTGCTGCTCGAGCGAGGAGTTCCGTTGCCGCAGCGCGTTCACCTCCTGCTCCCTGTCCTCCAGCAAGGCCTTCAAGACCGAAAGCTCCACCAGCAGCCGATCTCTCTGCCAGCAAGTCAGCCACCCATCGCCCATGCCTCCCTCCTCCTTCACCTCCGCTTCTGCTGACTTCACCGCCTCCTCCCTGCTCTCCCCTCCTCCCGCCTCCTCCCCTCCTCCGCGCTGCGCAGCCATCGGCATGCTCGGGGGGCTGGACGAGCCCATGCGGGCAGCAGGATGGATCTGCGAGAGTTCTGCGGAGGACTCGAAGAAGCAGCTCGACTTGCTCGAGAGCTGGGAGACCTCCAGCTCGAGCCCACGGATTTTCTCCTGGAGGACGAGAATCTCGTTGTTCCTCCTCGAGACGATCGTCTGCACGGCCTGTAGGTGGACGGACTCGCTGCCTCCTCCCTCCCTCCCTCTCACCCTCCACAGGGTACCCTCGAGCTCTTCCATCATCCCCTCGAGATGCGAGCAAAACGCATCAAGCTCTCCCCGCAGCTCCTCCATCCCGCCTGCGCTCGCACTGACGTTGGTCAAGGACTGGATGTCCCGCTGCTGCTGCGAGATCGTCGACTGCGCCGCGCGCAGCTGCTGCTCGAACCTCTTCTCCTGCTCGAAGAGCATTTGGCTCATGCGCTCTACCTCCTCCTCCGCCCCTCCTGTCGACAGCGCTTCCTCCTCCCTCCTGTGCGTGAACGACTCCTCGAAGAGGTCGATCGTCCTTCCCGCCTCCTGCCAGCACGCGTCATCCCCGTCCTCTCAGCAGCGGCAGCCTCAACACGCACCTTCAACCTGCTCTCCAGCACCTCCTTCTCCTCCCTCAGCCTCCTCTCCGACTCCACCGTCCTCTTCAGCTCCTCCTCCAGCGCCGACTTGGAGGAATCCAGCTCCTCTACGATCTGCCGGTGCGCATCTTCAAGCTGCTCCAAGGTCTTCTTCATCATCATTGCCACGTGCTCCTCCTGCTCCTCGTTCTTCCTCTTCTCCCTCAGCTCCGCCTTCAGCCTCCACTCCAGCACCCTCTTCTCAGCTCCAAGGGACTCCACCGAGCCCTGGAGGACCAACAGCTCCTGCTTCAGCTCCCTCAGCTCCTCCACCTGCTCCTCCGACTGTCTCATCAGCTCGAGCAGAGTCTCAACCTTGGACTTGGTCGTCACCATCGCGTCCTCCGTTGCCGACAGCACTGCCTCCATGTGCTCCATAATCGCTCTCAGCTCGTCCGAGCGCCATCCCTCCCTTCCATCCTCCTCCTGCTTCGGCGCCTCCTCCAGCCTCTCCGACAGGACCGCGTCAACGGCGCTGTCATGCCCGGACGCATAGCTGGTGTTGGCCGTGGAGTCGTCCGACGAGCTGGACAGGTGCTGGGACGCAGCCTGTTGGACGTCGCTGCAGTCCGAGGAGAAGGTCGTCTCGCCCAGGTTGAACAGTCTGCAAGAGCAAACGCTCGTCAGTCTCACACGTCACATGGCAGAGAGAGGGAGGGGAACGCACATCACTTGCTCCTCCTGTGAGGCTGCGGCGAGCGGCAGCGCCTGGAAGTTCCTCTCTGCATGCACCCGGTCGACGTAGCCCAGCGGCTTCCCGTTGACGAAGAGCATGACGACCCCCTTCCTCTGGATGAACCCGCACCCTACGATATCTCCATCCTTGAACAGCTTGCTGGGAGCTGCTGTGCTGACGTCGTCGCTGAGAACCACAGACAGCGCCTGTCCACCGTAGGAAGCGACGCCGTTGTCGTAGACCACAAGCACCTTTCCCTTCATCTGCGTGTGCAGAGCCCCCTTGGCCAACTTCCCATCACACAGGAACAGCCCGACCCGGCCTGTGCTGGGGGGTTGTGAAGGTCAAGGACGTCTGATACTTTCAACCGCTCCAGGCGGCTGTCCAGAGAACGCACTCCATTCCTCTCCCGCATGCTCTCCTTGCTCGAGGGTAAGCATGAGAAGGTGACCTCGAAGTACTGGATGCCCTCGCTCAAGGGGAAGGACTCGTGTTTCATGTCGGACAGGGCCCTCCGCACATGCAGCGTATCCAGCCCTGCCGGCCCGACCTTCTTTGCTACAAGGTGGTTCCCAAACTTGAGCCTCTTGAAGTGCTTGTCATCGAAGGCCATCAGGCTGTTGCACAGATTGTGCGTGAGAAGATTCTCGCTCGTCTTGAACACCCTGTTCTCTGACGAGGGAGGCCTCTTCGTCAGGTCGCATGTAACGATGCACCCCTCCGAGCACAGCACAACGACGGGCACGCAGGCCATCAGGTCAGCCACCAGCGCAGGAGAGACCTTCTCGCTCTTGATGCGACGTCCGTTCTTCACCACAAACACACTCTGACTGTCTTGGTCGACCCCCATGCCGATCGTGTCCCCGGCACCAAACGAAGCCAGGCTCTTCCTTAGCATTGATGTTCTGTGCCGTACAACCCACTCGTCCGGCTCCACCCTCACGATGAGCTCCTCCAAACTTGGATTCCTGCATCCGTCAACATTCAGAGGAGCGCTCTCATCTCTCAGAAAGCAAGTCACCTTGAATCTGCGATCTTTGGAGGCGCAAAACCCACAGATGGCTTTGAATCGCTCCGACCCCGATCGGGTATGTTCACCAGCCTCACCTCCACGTAGGGCTCCTTCAAGGATGAGAGCTGCTGAGAGAGCACGGACACCAGAGGTCGTGTGGCAGTTGGAGACACATGCTGTATGGTCCTGTCGTCGGCGAACAGAAATATCCCAGGGGGTACCCTCCATCGCGCTCGAGGACTTCCAGCAGCTGCCTCGTTGTGCCCTTCTTTCGAACCCTGCATCGTGCTTCTTGTCGTTTGTGCTGAGATGACTGATGCCTCCTAGTCCTCTCTCCTCTCCTCTCCCCTCCCCTCCTCTCCTCCTACGTTCCCTTCCTGACGGCGTTTGTCCATGAAAGCCTCAGTAGCACATCACTGAGTCACGATCGGGGGGGGGTAGGAGTTTTATGGTAGGGGTAGGGGGTAATTGAAGGGAGGATGAGGGGGTAGTTTTGAGTTCGCAAAACCTGATAGAAACCAGGTGGGGTAGTGAAAATGAGGGGTGATGATCACCATAAGGTGCAAGTGAAAGGTCCTACGGTGGCGGGGGTACCCTTAGGGCCTGTCAATCACCGTCACGTCAAGCTCTCGGGTGGGTGGGGGTAAATCCAATACCCCTGATCAATGGGGTACTTGAGCAATAATGTGGGGGTGGGGTCAACCAAATGGTGGGGTCCGAGTGGCGCACTAGACAGTTGAAGGTTTGAAATCCAATGGGCGGGGATGAGGCTCAGCATATCGGTACTAGTGACTCTCAGTGACTAGTATCACGGTCCGCCCCGGCCCGGACCGGGACACTCTCGCTGAGTCAGTACGGTCGTGCCGGCCGGCAGGCCGCGGCCGGGTGCCACGCCGGTGAGCGCGCCGCCGGTCACCGGGTCAGTCGGGTCGCCGGGCTAGCGCAGGAGCGGTCGCCACCCCGGCTGACCCCGGGCCGGCCGGCCGGCCGGCCCCACGCGGCCGCCCAGCCTTCAAGGCTCGGCGGCCCGGAGCACTTGAAACATCATGTTAGTAGCTTGTATGGTAAACCAAGTTAAAAATCAGTACTCCGAGTCTGGCTACCGTAGTACGGCGGCCCCCGGCGGCGGGACCGTTGCCGAACTTCGGAACTCGGAACTTCCGTTGTCTGCGGCTGTGGGCCCGCCGTGACCGTGAATGCTACCGTACCGGCCCGGGCCGGAGGCTCCGGCGGCACCATTGAGTCAAGCCTTTGAGTAGTGACCGGCGTACTCACGGTAATCAAAAAGTTGAGTCAAAGGAGTGCGTCACAAACATCACAGAGGAACTTTTCTGGTGGCCACTCAAGTTGCTTCAAGTCCGCCAGTGAGGCTCCGCCCCGGAGTTACGGGTAAGAGAGTAATGACCTCTCTTATAAGTGTGCATACGCATAGGCCCTATGAGCTAGATAAGACCAGGGTCCTAGAGTGACTAGAAACCAATGGGGTACTTGAACAGGTACCACCCCACCCTTGTATCTGAATAGAGATATGGGGGTGCTAGGTAGGAAACGGGGTTGAGGGTCGTGGGATGGGAGGGGGTGGGTGGTCACCGTCTAGGAGTGGGTGCCGCATTTTCAACGATAGCAAGTTGACTATACAGGGGTGGGGTGGGTTGGGGTAGGGGGTAGGGTGGGGTGTCGGGAACCCTTGTGGCGGCCTCCCTGGAGGCCTTGCGACTGATGGAGGAGGAATGGGGGGGGGGGGGGGGGGAGAGGAGGCCGGGTAGGAAGGAGAGAGGAGAGGAGAGGATACGTCTTGTGGGAGTCGTGCTCTAGGACGAGCTTGTTGGAGCCGTGAGCTGTTCTTCGAGGTTGAAAGAGGAGCGAGGCAGAGTCGAGGTTGCGAAAAGTTTGTTGTGCGGCCTCTGTAGGCGACGAGGAGCTCGATTCATGAGGCAGATGGACGAGGATACGTGAGACAGTTGACTGATATGACAAGATAAGAATGTTTCCTGCGTATATGCTTCCACTTGTTGAGGGAGTTGTGTGTTGAGGGTTGTCCCGACAATCTCGTAGAAAGTAAAGGCCTCCAATTGCCAAGTGAGTGTCAGAAGGGAGAAGCAAGATCTGGATAGAGGAAGTTGACCAGAACTAAGAGATGAGCGATAGTCTCACTTGATATCTGCTCTCTGCCATATGACCTCCTCAACACGAAGTTGTCTCTGACGTCTTTCCGGCAGAAACATGCTGATCAGAGGGTCGATCCGTTTCGGATAAGCAGCATGAGCGAAGATGCTCCTCCTCCGTCCGGCTGGAGCAAGGATCGAGCGAAGCAGAAGACAGCAAGGCGCGCTGGAAGGAGGGAGGGACGAGCTTTGCAAGGAGAGGGAGGAGAGGATGTAGGGGGGGCGGTTGGGCTCCCGGCTGGGGGCAGATGAAGGAGGAGGTAGACTTGAGCAAGATGCCGCTGCTGAGGCTGGACGAGGCGACTCTGCTCGAGATCTTCGTGAGGTTGGGGGTAACAG